AGCGAACTCCTTTTACAGATATAGCAGTCTAACCTAGCCCTAAGCATCTATTTGACAGCTTAACGGCCATTCAGCGGGGCACTTGGGTCGCTTATGGTGCGATCAAAACTGTTCAAGGAATGATTGACCTCTCTGTCGGTCACCTAGGATTAATTCTAAATAGGGCGGATTTGGGTTGCAGGAACACCCCAGGAAATTGCATGGCACATAAAAGGTAAGGAATTGCGCCCTGGAGATCGTGTCTATTGTGAGGCAAGGCATGTGAGTTCCTGTGGAAATCTTTGGATTGCTCCTGGACATATACGACTCTTCGTCGGCTACGCGAGAGATGAGCGAAACCCGCTAAATGCAAAGTTGCTTAGTCCTTCTGACCGGTAGCCGATCGAAGGCGATTAAATGAACTTTCTTAGCTGGCTAAACGTCAAATCGGGGGTCAATCCTCAGGCCCCACAAGAGAAGGGGAGATCGGGCTTATTTCTTCTCAGACCAGTAGAGTTAATGGGTCGGAGAAAATGAAGATGGAAGTAAGAAAATCGATTATGTTTTTTTTTTGGGTGGGGGGCCGTCACATACTTAGTACGGGGACCGGATTTTCTTTTGGCAGCCCTGAAAATACCCCTCCATCTACGATATTTTGTCGGTCGTTTACATCCAAAGCTGTTTGGGAACAACAACCGAAGCTAAGCTAAAGTAATTTTACCTAACCTTCAGTCTTTTTCAAGAAGACATGAAAAATATCTATAATTGAAAACTTGTATTAGTAGGTTCTTTTTTTAACATCTCAGTAAAAGTAATGTCGGACTAAAACACCCATCATGGAAGAGTTGAATCAACTATTGGGGAACCCAAGTTCCAGATTTTCTCGCTGTTATCGAATCCATGTTATTTCAAAACCTCATATGACATTATCACATTTGACCCCCTGAGTGTGTTGATAATGTTATCTGCTATTTTTTTTAGTTTTACAACCAATTTTTTTAAAGTTTATATGGAAATAGACAGAAATTGAAAAATCATTTTCCATTTAAATTGCTGGTGAAACCGGCTGTTAATGTTTTTCGCTTGCTATTTAAAGAACATGATAGAAAGAAAGCATCTAATCATAGATAGATACCTACACAATTATATTGACTGAATGTTTCGTAAGATGATTCTTATACGGTAGACAAACGGGCTCGATTATTTGCATAACCACACTTTATTTGATTTGACTCATGCATTTTCCTTTTTAATATGCGCATAAGCAGCTGAACAAATGAACGAAATGCAGTTTTCGTTGACAACACTGGTAAAAACGGCCAGCTGTTGTCTTTTGTACAAGTAAGCAAACAAAGCGCGCGAGTTCCGCGCCCGCGGTAGCCGAGTGGTAAGAGTTACGGGCTACAAGCCTGTAGGCTGCCAGGTTCGATCCTCGGTTGGAGCGATTGCGAAATTTTTTTTTGGTTTTATTTATTTTATATTTATTTTATTTTATTTGATCTATATATTTAATGTTACTTTATTTTGTTTTCATTTGCTTTATTTTATATCACTTTTTTATTTTACTATCAGTTAATTTAAATTTTTAGAGTTGAATTTTAATAAAAAGTCAACAACAACTAACTGAAAGCAACGTAAAAAAAATATAGAACTTATAAAAAAAAGAATGAAAAAAAAAATAAAAAATAAATGAAAATTTAATTGGCCGTGGGACTCGAACCCACGACCTTGCGGCTCGTTTATCCGCATAACTGCCGTCTGTGAGGTCAAAATTATTATGCGCATATGTATGCCAGATTATATGCATAAGCTTTGCCGTCTGTCACAGCTTTTATATTTCGTAACAGACTGTTAAGAAATCGGTACATATACCTACGCATAGCAACGTTATTGGCACTAAAATAAAATGTATTCTTCAACTGCTCTTCGCAATGTTATTGGTACCAGGGTTGCCACTGACGAAAAAAAATATTTACCATCGACTTGAAAAAAATCTACCAAATGTGGGAAATATCTACCAATAACTTTTTTATAATTATTTAAATAAAAACTATAGTTTTATTATTTTTTTATTTATTTCAATTAAAACTTTAGTTTTTTTATTTTTTATTTTTAGTTATGTTTTTAAGAACTTTTTATTTAACTAGTTATACGGTATTTGGGTCGTATTATTGGCATATTCTCTGTTTCCTTCAACCAAAAGCGGAAGTGATGAAACTAAAGGCAACAATGAAACTTTATTATTTGAAAAACTTCAACTCGAGTTATTATAGACAAATACAGTGACTCAAAAAAGTGATTTTTTTAATATTCGAAATATTTTTCGAGTAAAAATTTTTTGTTGCTTTAACTAAATCCATAAAAATCGAGGATTCAAACTATATACAACATATAGAAAAATTCCAAAAATTTTCGTCTAAATTTCGAATTTTTTACTCAGAATTTTTAGAACAATTTGAGGTATGGAGTTTTAAAGCAAATACTATTTGAGTATAGCCAAAAATGTGCTGCTTATAATTCTCATTGATTTTTTTAATTTTTTTCCATTGATAAAAAATGGCGTTGATTTAATTCTTGTTGCGAACAATCATGGTGCGTTATTACATACCTGTAAATTTTTTCTTTATATTTAAATAATCATTTAAAATATTTAGGCAATCAAAAGCTCCTCGGGATTCCAGTAAAATTAGTTTTGAATGGAGCGCGATATGTTCGGTTTATATCGATATACATTTCTACGTATGTAATTATATAAAAAGTATGCAAAGAAATTTTATTAATTATTTATTTAATTTTATATTTAAAGATAACTACGAAAAATAAATCGGGAACGGAAATTTCATCAAAAATCTACCAAAATGAGAAAAAATTTACCTTTTTACCAACCCAAATTTTTTCTACCAATTTTGGTAACAATTTACCAAAGTGGCAACCCTGATTGGTACTTAATTTTTTAATACAAACAGATATTTATATGTACAGTCATACAACATATACATACCAACACTTGCACATTTAAACACGCACACATGCATAATTGCGATCATCTTTATACGTAATGTGCTTTCACAGAAATGAATTTCCTTTAGTTGCTGTCTCATTTTTCAATGCACATATTTACTCACTTCACTAGTCCCTACATACACATGTATGTACAAGTTCATGCATGCATACATACCCTGCAAGAACAGTGTCAGCCATTTGACCATTAACCTGACGATCAGAAATGAAATTAATTTGTCAGTACGTAGAACAAAGTTTATATCAGTTTCTTAAGAGCACTATGCGAAAACTGATGTAAACAAATGTATACGTGTGATTTTTTCTCTTGCTATAACGCATTGAAATTTCCGAAAAGCCAAACATATATCTTCACTACTCACTCTCATTCATTTTATTGGGTCAGCGCTGATTGCAAATTTATCAGGGAAGATAAACGTCATTGTTTATGTTTTAGTCCGTCACAATCCATCATACATGACAATCGTCATTGTTGTTGTATTAGCCCGTCACAATCTATCAGATATGACGATTGTCATTGCTGATGTATTAACACGTCACAAATGATATTTTTTTTGTTCTTTAACAAATATTATAGTTTTATTTTTTATTCATGAAATATGTACATGTATGTGTTTATTTTAACACTTTAAAACTATACTAAACGCAAAATCAATTCATTTAAATAATTAAAAAGGAAAATATATCCCATGTCAAAGCTATAAACGCGCTACGTATTGACAAGTCGAAATATTTAATTTATTGATATTTAATTATATTTATTTTTAAAAAGCTATAGTTTACTGCTTAATAAAATCCGTAATTCGGTAACGATTTAAAGTTTTCTTATTCGATTTCTTAAAAAGCTATCAAATTGGACTTCTTAGAAAGATTTTGAGTATGCAGTTTTATGACCCATTCAATTAGTATAATAAAATGTAAGTTTGAAGTACTTAGGGCTTACCGTTGATTTTTGGAATTTTTTTTTTGCTCATTTTCTTCTATATAAAAGGACATTGCATGATAAAAACATAGCAAGGTATAACCGTTCTCTCAATTTGTCGGCCATGATTTTTTTTTTGAAGTTTGCCAACATTTTAAAATCATATAAAAGTGAAAATAAAAAATTGAAATTGTTCGAAATTGTTGTTGCTTGAGATTGAAAATGAAAATGTGTGTGTGAGTTTGTGAGTAAATTTAAAAATTAAATTGTTTGGAAACGTCAAGAATTTTAAAAGTGACTCTCAGCGGTTCTACCTTACTATATTTTTATCATGGGACATTGTATGGAAGGAAATGAACAACACCGTCAGCAAAAAAAATTCCACAAATCAACGGTAAGCCCCAGTACTTCAAGCTTACATTTTATTGTACTAATTGAATGGGCTACAAAGCTGCATACTCAAAATCTTATTAAGAAATCCAATTTGAAAGCTTTAAATTATTAAATGAAGCGTTCGGATTTTGTTAAAGAATGAAATATAGTTTTATATAAAATAACAATAATTAAATATCAAAAATATAAATAGTTTGACTACTCAATATGTAGTGCGTTTATAATTTTGCACGGGGTGTAGTCTAACGTTAAAAGTCAAATAAAAATGGTTTACTTAAAGAAAATACATTTCTAATCTCTTCCTTTAAAGCAAATACTTAAGTTAAGTAATACTGGAAGTTAACATTTCAAAAACGTAAGAATACTTTTGGTGCCTTTAAAAAGATACAATGACTTAAACAAGTGACCACGTGTTGATTTTTGAAATTTAATATTTGTAATGTTTTTCGAGCAAATTTTTTTTGTTATTATTCTACAAAAATACCTTCTAAGCTTTAACCAAAACCATATAAATCACAGTTCCAAACTTTATACAAATTTTCATCAAAATTTAAATTTTTTTGATGAATATTTCTTGAATTTTCCTAAAATGTGTATAAAGTTTGGAACGGTGATTTATATGGTTTTGGTTAAAGCTTGGACGGCATTTTTATAGAAAAGTAACAAAAAAAATTAGCTCGACAACGATACGAATATTTGAAAAAATCAAGACGTGGTCACTTGTTTGTGTCACTGAATAATAATTGTATTACAAATCACTATTAATTTATCCTCCTGTCTTGTTTTTCTTTTCCATATATTTTTTTTGTTTCATTCGGTGGTGACTCTTCTCCACAGCCTTTCGCACATCTTTTTCATACTCGAAGGCACCATGCAATTGAAAAACGCCTATATAAAAAAGAAAATTTATTTAAAAATTACTTCGACTTATTGTTATTAGCATTTTTTTACCCCTCAATACTTTTTCAAATAAAGTAAGTTTCGCCAGAGCTCGTTTGTCTCCCCTCCCGTCCCAGTTAAATGACTCAAGGAGATTGTCCGTAAGAATGTTTCGGATGACGCCATCCACATCCTGCGAAGTCCCCTTAAGCTTATGGCAATAAGTTGTCTGTGTAAAATAACCATACAGAAAAAATATATTAGTATTACATAGAAGTTATAAAGTTTATTATACGTATTATATTTTACCGTAGCTTGCGCGAATTGAGGTTCTTTGAGTTTTTCCTCAATCTCGAACACAGATTCGACGGTATTCAAAGGCAGCATTCTTGCCACTTCGTCAAGCGCGTCATCTTTTTCTTCTCCAGTCATCAGACAGACTGATCGCTGGACGTTCTTTATTGCGACCTTGCATTCCCGCAACAAAGTATTTTGAGCAAGCATTTCCGATTTATTGACGTACTGTTAAAAAGCACCAAAATTTAGCACCAAAATTCCAAATGATATTGTTTGCAACTTATGTTTATTTATTTATTTTCAATAATTTTCATTGCAATTATAATTCAATCTACAACCGATTAATTTTTGTTGGATTAAAATTTGAGAAATTTGTGTCAGCTTTTAAACTTTTATTTATGGGGTTTATGTTAAAAGTAGGTTAAATGAGGTTAGCAACAAGAGTTTACGGGATGTACATAGCTCAGTGGTTAACGCT